GATACGGCAGCCCACATAGGGCTTGTTGAACACCGCAAAAGAGAAGAAGACAAGGAAGAAGAAGAGAGAGAGGGAGAGTGAGAGAGAGGGAGAGAGAGAGAGAGAGAGAGAGAGAGAGAGAGAGAGAGAGAGAGAGAGAGAGAGAGAAGCAAACGGGCCAATCCGGAAGAGAAGGTGAGGAGTGCGCAAACGACCTATCCGGTATGGGCTCATCCACACACGGCTTCGTTGTTGGTACATGCAATCGTATCAAGGACAATAAGCACCCGTTAAAAAAAAAAAAAAAAAAACAAGAGGCGTACTCACAGTCTGTGCCTTTCTGCGACCCGTGGCACAGATACACCGGAGATCGGGATGGGCGAGCAGCACATTCTCTACCAATACGCGATCACAGACGAGCTCGTAGCAAGGATGCGCGGGCGACTACGCGCGGCATTTCCATGGTGGAGTTCATGGTGCGAAAGCAGCTTCATACTATCAGTAATCGTACACGGCTGCTGGATGCCGTGGAAACTTGCCGCCCCGGTGCTGTTTTAGTGGGACAACCATGCGGGCGCACAGATCCACGCCCAGTTCACCAAACAGGCTATCTGCGAGCTCCTAGAAAGTGGCGCAGCGGCTCTCGCCCCCGCGGATCAGGCTGTATGCATTAGCCCACTAAACGTGGTGGTCCAGAGAGAGAAATGCCGACTGATCATCGACCTCCGCCAAGTGAACCTGCACTTGCGCATTCCAAAATTCAAATACGAGGGGCTCAACTGGGTTGCGGAGATCGCTCGCCCGGGCGATTGGATGTTGTCCATCGACCTGAAGTCTGGGTATCACCACGTGGATATTCACCCATCATGCTGGAAGTACCTGGGGTTTCGATTCGACGGAAAGACATACATATTCCGCTCGCTCCCTTTTGGCCTCGCGACAGCCCCGTTCGTTTTCACGCAACTGATCAAACAGCTTACCCATTTGAAATGAGACGATGCCATTGCTACAACAAGAAAGCAAACTTTCTAAATATAAAAATCATGGAGGTGGGGAGGGATGTTCACCAATTTGTGAAAAATACCCCCCCCCCCCCCTCCCCTCATGTCAAAGGTTCTGCTAGGTCAAGGTGCTTGGCCAACTCTGATCAGAATTTGCCGGGTGCCGGCTGAATCAGCGTCGCTCACTCCACAATTGGGGGTTGAGTGTGGGGATGGGATGGGGTGTTGCGCATTTGGGCTACCGTATTCTCCCGGACAAAACACCCCTCCATGATTGAGCATCCTCGGGTAGCTTGTGCGGGGTGGGTGCTATGGGCGACCTCGTTTCTACTCTACCCCCCTTTTTGGCTGATTATTTATAACATCCGCCTTTTCTTACAGATTCGCTATTATATTTGTTAACGAGTAGGTGCAAGTATGGGAGGATATCGCGAAAATCTCTCCCTCGATGAAGTTAATTCGAATCTGCTGAGATTCCCCCCCCCCCCCCCCCCCCCCCACCACCATCTCGCTATCACCACGTGCTGGCGAAACTTCTGCTGCAAATGACCAGATAGGTGCCACATGACATTTTCGAGCGGGTGATAATGTTTGCGTCGAAACTCACATTCGCGCCTCAACAAGTGATGTTAAAACTCCTATGGAAACACTCAATTTGTCTTAAAAAAAAACCCCTTACACTAAAATATTCCATATATACATGCATCCGGGTATCATGTAGTTTTTTCTTATGAGAAGACACCCCCCTTTTTTTTCCTGTATTTTTATATCTACTCTAGGGTGTTATGCCTGGGAAATACGGTAGGTACTTTCTTAGCTAAAAAATGATATCCCCGTATGGTTGTACTTCTTGGGGTTTGACTGTTTTAGGATGTATGCGTGATTGAATCATTGAATCTTTTACAATTCTGATGATGTGATTGCCTTTCCAAGTGTAGAAAGCAACTCAGATTCCTACCCAGCGATGTATGGAGAAGTATGTATGGAGCTCAGCACTGTTTGTGATGTTCCTAGAATTTCGTTTAGTAATTATGTAGATCTTAGAGCTCTAGGTGTAGAATCTTGCGATATCCTTGAAAACTCCTGGACACGACTGAGGCTATGACTCACTTCACGTGTTGTTCATCAGTCAACTCTGACCGCGATGGAAACAATATTTACTGTAGACTCTCGCAGCCCCTTGCAAGGGGATCATATCATAAGTGAGAAACGTGGATGGTGCGGTGTCTTGTAGCTGAAATTCTAGCGAGGAAGATGCGATGTGGGCATGAGGTGGGGTGTGCTATGGTGAGGCGAGGAGAGGCGAGGCGAGCCGAGCCGACGCGAAGACCACACCACCACATCAAGTGGTCTTCGCGTCGCAGAGAGCACGGCGATTCACGCCGCACTTGGCAGCAAACACAGTTCTGCCGTGTTGACTGTAGTGTTGTCATGACTCGTGACTGGCTAGACCTGCCACCACTTAGATCACGGTTCTGAAGTTTGGACACCAACTGAAGTGTGGACACTTTGGTATCAATGAACACGTCTGATTGGCTGTCATGCTCCAAGACTTCTCGCAAGTTGTGTGGTGACCAATGAATGGGTGTGTTTACACGTCACTGAGGAAATTTTTTGGTTCTTGGTTTCCAGGCTTCGCCCAGAACCGGGACCTTATCGACCAACAGAACAGGTTCTAGCAGCCACTAGTACACATGACGTGGCTTTCTTCAGTATTCTCCTCATCTGTAGTACACCCATGACTGTGGCTCAGGAAGGAAAACACTTACAGTACAGTGCATTCTGAAAATGCTGTTCGTAAACCTCAATCCCCAAGCTGGGTTCGAAATGCATACAGTATTGTTTCTAACACTCAACTGTAGCCTTCCATGTCAGAAATGTATTCTGGGAAGAAACCAGAAGCGCGGAAATTTGTCACCGAGTCACCGACAAAGAGGGTGCCTCGAGCTTGTACACCGTAGACGTAAAATGGCAGGCTCAATATCCGGGCGGGAGAAAGGGCACCATGGGGTTTCGTCGTCGTTCATCGAAGCTGAAAGGGGCATCACAATTTACGAGTGGCGGTCGCCATGACAGGCACACGAGGTTTTGATACACCAAGTCCTCGCCAATTTCACTCCCCGTCAGTTCTTTCTTAAAGCCAGACTGACCATATCTGGCTATAGAGCATAAGACACCCACGAACTAGAGGCTATCCGAGGCATTGTGTCGTTTCGATGTTTGCCCCTTCTGACGTTGAGATTGCAACGCAAAGACTGAATCTTCCGATGTGACCATGTTTCTTTTGTTTTTCCGCTGACTCATGTGCGCAGTCCATGTCGCTGGTTTCCTTAAAACCAAATTGTTTGAAAGAGCCATTAAATTGGGGTGAATTGAAAATGAATACACAGGGGGGTGAAATTGGGGTGAATTTAAACTGAATACACAGGGGGGTGAAGTTGGCGAAGACTTGGTGTAACATGTCTAGATTCACCCGCAGCGTTACAAAGAATTGCGCCGAAGGGGAACCACGGAAAGATGTTTCGGGAGTTTAGACGTAACTCGACAATGAACACATGACTCAACTCGACATGACGCTCTAGAGGCGTACTCGTGCTTTTGAATTGAACATTTTCAGAAGTCAGGTGTCGATACGAAATCTGTAACCGCAGTCGTAAGGTGTAATAGGTTCGGTCTGGCCATGCAGCGCATGACAATTTTCAAACAGGTGACGTCTGGTGAACGAACTTCTTCGTGTAACGTCCATCTGATACAAAACTCCTCATGGAATTTGAACGCGCGCCATAGGACCCGCCGCTGTTCAGTAATAGAGATATCATTTTCTTTAGCGCCTCCTTTACTGCACCCAGCACAGGTCGAGCAGTGGTGTTTGAGGTGAAGCATCCAGCCTAGTATATCTCAACGCTCCCGAAAGCGCCACCCCCGACCGTCACCCCTGGCAAAACGGAGCGTCACCCCCGTTTCCGTTGAGATATACTAGGCTGGATGCTTCACCTCCTCAAACACCACTGCTCGACCTGTGCTGGGTGCAGTAAAGGAGGCGCTAAAGAAAATGATATCTCTATTACTGAACAGCGGCGGGTCCTATGGCGCGCGTTCAATTTCCATGAGGAGTTTTGTATCAGATGGACGGAAACCCCCGTTTCCGTTGAAAGATACAGCGAAGGCTGGTTGGGACTCGGGGGAGGGGAGAGGGAGGGAACCAACCAGCCGAGCCATACCAGCGGGCACGGGAGGGGAACCGACGAACCAAACCAATGGGGGGAGGGAAGGGAGCAGCAGGGGCTGATGTCAGCGCACCAGCGGGAGGAGCACGCCTGGAGGGGCAATCGCGTGGCAGCGAAGCGGGTACAGCACACGAGGAGCGTGCCACGGGTGGGATGAATGTCACTGTGGAACAGCATTTCCCCCAACCCCCCAACCTCCCCCCATTACTGTGTGAGCAGGAAAAGGGTAAGGTAGGGGGGAGGCGCGGAACATGCTTTGCATCCCTGGGAATCTTGGGAACTCAGCAGAGTCACCACTGCTGCTGCTGCTTTGTGGAGATCTATTTTCAGCGTGCCAACAACAACGACGGCATGCCAGCTCAAACGGACAACGAAATGCCAACGAACACACACCATTTCGATGCCTTACCTCAGGCCTCTGACCAGCGCTGCTTGCATTGTCTCCTAGAATCTACTCCATCGCCGCACCCACCTTTGCCAGCCTAGTTGAAGATGAAGTTGCATCGACAGCGGTACGGTACCCCCCCACGGGTGGCCTCTTGGCTGTGAGAACTGGATGGAGCCAAGGAGCCAGGACAAATGAGCGGACGCTAGATTACCGCATATGCACGCATCGTTGTTCAGAAACCCTCCGTTCTTCATGTCCCATCGTGTCCGACTGGAAGAAGGCCCATCGAAAAACACGGTTCTTTGCATTCAGTTTTGTACCCAGTACTTATTCCGTATAGATTAGGTTGAACACATACGAAGTACATACGTGGTAGAGGTTTCAGTGCATGATAGTCCATCCGCCATGGCTCTACCGACGTCAGAGCTCTTTAATCGTTACTTTTTCAGCGACATCCTCGGAGAGGGCCAGTCTGGCCGCATTTGGCGCTGTCAGGATAGAATAACGGGGGAAACCCTTGCGTGCAAGCAGGTCCGTAAACGCGGAATGTCACACGTGGAGCTCGCTGATTTGCGGAGAGAAGTTCAGTCGATGCTGATTCTCCGGGGTCACCCGAACGTGCTGTGCCTGCGTGGACTTTACGAAGACGACAAAGCGGTCTACATGATAACGGAGCTGTGTGCGGGCGGCGACCTGTTCGCGCTTATAGCGGAGCACGAGGGGCTGGAGGAGTCCGTCGCGGCGCGGCTGTTCGTACAGTTAGCGAGGGCTGTGCGGTGGTGTCACATTAACCGCGTCGTGCATCGGGACATTAAGCCTGAAAACATTCTTATCGTTCCGCCGTCACCGGCGGTATCTCCCAACTCCGCCGCTCCCGCAAAGCGTGGCGGAAAGTCCGACAACGGCTCGTCGTCCCCCTCTTCGTCCCCCGCTTCCCTCGCTTCTCCTGCCTCCGCTGACGGCGACGATACAGAAAAATCCCCACGCTTGGAAGATTTGCAACTCCGACTCGCAGACTTCGGACTGGCGTTTCCGTTACAACCGGGTTCGGCTATTATCGGAGCAGCGGGGAGTGCGCCGTACGAAGCGCCCGAGGTTCTGGCGCACGAGCCGTATAACTACTGCGCGGATATCTGGTCGCTCGGCGTGTTGCTTTACGCGATGCTCTCTGCGAACTGGCCGGCTTTTCCCAACGACAGTCGCAAACTGCTGCCGTCAGATCTGCTACCGAAACCGTGGCCGTCGATTTCTTTCGAAGCCAAGGATTTGATCCGTCGGATGTTAACGGCAGATCCGATGGAGAGGATTGATATTATCGGCGTGTTGGAGCATCCATGGTTGAAGAAGCAGCTCGCTCCGCCTCGGTTGGACGCTCCGTCGCTTGCTCCGTCGCACACTCCGTCGTATGCACCGTCGAAAGCACAATCGCAGCGACCCAAAACGCGGCAGTTACGCCCGGCGACAGCCTTATGCGAAACCATGAAGCGCCGGGAGATTTCTACGAACGCTGTCGCCATGCCGCGAGCATTGAGTGTCGTTGTCGCAACAGAAGCTGCGACAGAATCGCCAAAGAGCGAACCTGCTTCTCCAACCACCAGCCCCGGCGACCGCCAGTACAACGGCCAAACCCTGAACTCGAATGCCCCTGACGGTCGTCCACAATCAGCGGCTGGACATCTGGCTAAGATTCCGCGATCGCAGAGCAATGTGCTGCCGTCGTCAGCACCGTGCGACGCGCAAGCGACTGTCATGAGGACACCTGGACGATCTAGGCAAACCAGAAGATCCCGGCTTCAGGGACATTCCCCGCTAATTACGGGTTCTCATTTATTGTCAACAATCTGTGGTGACAACAGCGAGAATAAGCACGGAAGGGGTGCGGACTGTGGTGTACCCATCTCCATAGCAAGTCGCGTGAACAGGTCTTCGCTTGTCGAGGATACTGCCGGTGAATGTGACGGTGACGGAGCCGACGGAGATAACGGGGCCGACGGAGACGGGGTGGACGAGGAAAGCAAAACCTCCAACGACCAGCCTGATAGTGAGGGTGACTTCCCCTCCCCATCTTCGCTGCCCTCTAAAGCTTCTGATGATGCATCAAACTCAACAGAGTTGCCCGCATCTTCTGGGAGAGGGTGGTGTGAGGCTTTTGAACATGAAGACAAGGAGGGGGAGGGATTGTGCTCTAGTATTCTTTCATGCCGTATCTTGCCTGGAAGGAGATCCAGGCTCAAGAGCCTCCAAGACGCTTCTTTACCTGCTGCCCTGTCATTATCATCGTGCTCTTCCGTTTCGTCTGCATCAGACCTTTAAGTCTTCATCCCAAGGAAACTGGCATTCTAAGATGGAAGGTAGAATAATAGGTGATTAAGCCATGTATGTCATAGGTTTATCTAGTGTATTTAGCCAATATAATATCAATTGGATGAAGAGATATTTGGTGGAAGTTATTGAAGATTCAAGTAACGCACTGTACAAATAACTTCCAATGATGTACTAGCGTATTGTTCATGTAAGGAATTTTCCGGATTCCTTAATGGGTCACACTATACGCGTACAACCCCGGTTTTCGAAAAACCAGGCTCGGTCCGCCGACCTCGCCTTCCGAGCCACCACCGCGTCACCTTCGGGTTTTCCAAACCCGAACCTGCACCCAACCATCTCGGCCGACCCCGCGACCTAGGCCTAGCTAGCATTGCTATTATAGTCCTAGGCCTCATTGTTTTCTCAGACGTTGTAATCACTTCCGCATTATTGAGTTCTGCGCACTCTTCCTTTCACAACTCATAACAGTTCACCTCAGCTCGTTTACCGTGACTTCCCCCTTGGCTCATTTTTTCTTGCCACTCACGCTCCTCCCCCCCCCCTCCTTCGCTAGAGAATTCTTCACCGCACAACTTATCGTCACTACCTTGGCGACGAGTTCCTATGTTTACTTCGCATGCCCTAAGCGGATGGGCAAGGAAAGTGAACGATTCCTCTCGAAGTGACTAAGAGTAGCTTGTAGTTCCGAGACTTACGACAACCATCTTTGCCGCAAACTTGGCATTGACCTACTAATTCATGAAGTGTGTGGTTTGAGAACCGTAAGATACAAATGGATCGTACGGCTGAAGCCGGTCACGACGAGATCTGGCCACGTGTCATCTGCAAGACATGCAAGAAGCTTCGTCGAATCCCTCCCGAGGAATTCCTAAAACTCTCAGATTCCAAAACTGTGGATTGGTTCTGCCACCTGGCAGAGCCCTATAGGCCAGGAGCCCGGTGCTTAGATCCGGAGGAGAAAAAAACCGAGGCGGAGAAGACAAAGCCGTTCGAACCGGACGGTTTCTGGTGGATGTCGAAATTTCGAGGGGATATTTTCTACATAACCCCGGATAAGAAGAAGTTTTATTCTCCTAGCCAGTTAACCGCGTACCTGGAGAGCTACAATCGGAACCGCCGAAATCCCCTCACTCCCGAGGATTTTTGTATAAGCAAGCCCAAGTGGAGAGAGGTGCACGGATGCGCGGAGGTGGGGGGAGTGAAGCGTCCCGGAGCTGTCTCTACCAGACCTATGCTAGGTTCGGGAAAGGCGGTGTCTGCTGTCGCTGCAGGCGTTGCGGGTGGTTCCAGCGGCGGGGGTGGGTTCTCTGCGGTTGCTGCTAAGGCTGTGCCGTTGGGTCGGTCCGGCTCGTATAAACTGACGGCTCTGGCGATCGGAGCAGGAAGCAAGGGGGGATTGGGCTTGGGAGCCGGGGGCGGTGAGAGAGGCAAGGACGGCGGGGAGAGGGCGAGAGCAGGAGAGGAACGCGGGAAAGAAGGGGGGGCAGGAGCAGGGGGAGTAGCAAAAGCTGCAGGGGTAGCAGGAGCAGCAGGGTTTGGAGAGAGGAAAGACGGGGGAACGGAGGGCTCTGGCAAAGGGGGTGAGAGGAAGGGAGAGGAGGCGAGAAAAGGCACTGGAGGAGGAGGAGGAGGTGGGTTAGGAGGAGGCGGTGAAGGGGGCGGAGGAGCGCGCGAGAGGGAGGGCGGAGAAAGGGAGGACGGGGAAAGAGAGGAGGGTGCCAGGCGTAGGTTGGGTCAGTCGGAACTGTTTAAGAACCCTATTGCTCACCTTGATGATGATGATGAGGATGCTGCAGTGCGTGTTCCTGACGCTGTCACTGATTTCCGCCTAGAAACTGCCGCTGGAGAGCTTTATTCCTTTTATAGGCTGCCTCTTTATAAGAAATGGAGCTCTTCTTTGTTAAAGGAGTCGGTGTATCTGCGTGGGAAGGATGCGAATGGGGGAGCACCAGTTTTTGTTGATGTGGTGGCTTGGCGGGTAGTGGTGAAGGTAGATTCGGTGAAGGTTCAGGTGCAGGCTCGGCATGGGGAGAAATGGGTTGAAGTTCGGAAGCCGAGCCTGGGTTATGCGTCAGGGAGGTTGGGTTCGGAGATAGGGTGGGCGCAGTGCTGCGTGCGTTTCCATCCTGATTGGTCTGAAGGTGAGGTGAAACAGTTTTTGCGGTCACACAACGTCGATCTGGAGCGGCTTGTAAAGTGGATGGATTTGCTGGGAGATTTTATTCAGGATGACGTGGCCAAAAGATCTAGTCTTTGGAAGTTTCTCGAGAAGGAGAGGTGGGGGAGTGGGAAAGAGCGAGGAGTGGGGAGTGAGAGGGAGAGAGACAAGGAAAGGATTAAGGGCAGGGAAGCCGAGAAAGGGTGGAAGGACAAGGAGAGGGACAAGGGGAAGGAGAAGGAGAAGGAGAAGGGGAAGGAGAAGGAGGGAGAAAGTGAGCGAGGTAGTGAAAGGGCTCGAGTGCGGGATAAGATCTTGGAAGACATAGGGTATCCGATGAGCAGAGCAGGATTGGATAGAGCAGGATCGTATAAGTCAGGAGGATTGATGAGAAAGAAGAAGCGAGTAGCGAGGTTTTTGGAGGAGGAAGAGGAGGATGAGGAGGAGAAGGATCGGAGGTTCATTGCTTCGGATGATGAGGATGAGATGGATGTGGGTGGGAGCAGAAGCGGAGGAAGGGGAGGAGACGCGCGGTACAGATCGTGGAAGGAAGGAGGAGAGGAAGGTGCCGGGGAAGGTTCGGAGGAAGGTGCGGAGGAGGGGTTGTACGAAGGGGATGAGGAAGAGGAGGAGGAGGATGAGCAAGTGGCAGGGTGGGACAGCGTGTGCTACATCTGTGATGATGGTGGCGACTTGGTGTGCTGTGACGGCCCGTGTATGCGCTCTTTCCATGTAGAGCCAGATGATGAGGAGGAGAAGCGGAGGGACAAGTTCCACTGCCCGACCATTGGGTTGACAGATAGTGAGGTGCATGCAAAGGAGACCTGGCTGTGCCCGAATTGCGAGGCAAAGCAGCATGTGTGCTTTATTTGCCACCAGCTCGGGCGATCGGAGCCGGTTTCGGGGGGGAATGCGGGGGCGGATGGTGGGGGGGAGGGCGAGGAGCAGGGGCAGCAGCAGGGGCAGCAGGTGCTGCAGGAGCAGGAGGTGTTTATGTGTGACGTGGCGCTCTGTGGGCATTTCTATCACCCGACATGTGTCGCCTCGTGGTTGGCTGATTCGAAGAGGCTGCCCCAGGGCAGCGAGGAGCGAATCAAGGAGCTGGAAAGTGTGGCTGGGAACATTCGGGCAGGGTCTGGAATGTTTTTCTGCCCGCTGCACACATGTGCCAAGTGCCAGTTGGGGGAGGGAGATTTAGAATCTTTCAAGCTTGTTCCATGCCGCCGCTGCCCGAAATCTTTCCATGTGAAATGCCTCCCACCTGACCTGAGACTGGATGGGAATGACCCTAGCAATCCGCAGAGGGTTTGGGGTGTTGGGGATGGGTTTGCCGAAAGTCTTATGTACTGTACTAGGCATTCTCTCGATCCTTTTCTTGGTACGGCTGCCCGCGGGCACCATAAATTTCCGGACGTGAGGAGGACTAGGGGGCCTAGGAAGACCAGGTGGTTTGAGGATCTGGAGGAGGGAGAGGAAGAGGAGGGGAGGGTATTGGGGGAGGAGGAGCGGAGAGCTGGAAGGAGGGTGAAGAGGAGGAGGATGATTGTGGATGATGAGGGGGAAGAGGAGGCTACAGAGGAGGAGGAAGAGGAGGAGATGGAGATGGAAGGATTTGGGTTGAGTGAGCAGGGTGCAGCAGGTGCATCCGCGTCTGCTAGAGCTGCTGCTGCCGCTGCTGCTGAATCATCCCGGTCAGCACTGGAGAAAGAACAAGCAGCAGCAGCAGGAGCAGCGGCAGGAGGAGCAGCAGTAGCGGTGGGGGAGAAGGGGATGGGGAAGAAGAGGTCGTGGATTGAGAGGGAGAGGGAAGAGAGGGAGGCGGCTCTGAGGGCGATGGATAGCATAGGAGGCATTCAAAGCCTCAAGGGCGGGCTCACTCACAAGGAGATGGCGCAGAGCTGGAACAAAGGTATGAATTCGACTTGAGGGGTAGTTTTGGTTTTGATTAGTAGTTCCAGTATTGCTACGTGCTATCGAGAGGAACAAACGTACAAATTCGACTGGACCAAAGGTAACTACAATGTTGTTACTATGTGTGAGAGAGGGCAGTGGAGGGATTCAGAGCGGCAAAGGGGGGCTCAATCACAAGGAGATGGCTCAGAGTTGGAACAAAGGTATGGTGAATCTGAGTGTAGGCACTTTGGAAAAATTTCTCCAAGTGTCAGCAACCCTGTGTGTGATTCAGAGCATGGGGGGGATTCAGAGATGCAAGAGGGGCTTTACGCACAAGGAGACGGCGCAGACCTGGAGCAGAGGTACATGGTGCACAAGGGGTACATGGCGCAGAGATATCTGAATCTCTGTAACATGTACTGGAAAGCAAAGGTATATGTTTCAGTACCCCTGTGACTTAGACGCGTCCAGGACTTGTTTCAGAGCTGCACACTATCTATCCACTCACCCACCCATCCATACCGCCCTTCACCACTCTCCTTCCTTCTCCCCCTTGCCCCCCTCCCTTCTCTCCACAGGCAAGGCCCCACGGCACATGTTTCACTATCCCTGCGACCTGGACGTGTCCAGGGCTCGCCTGAGGGAGATATGTGAGGACGCAGTGAAGCTGGTCACAGCACAGACGGCCAAGGCCGGTTTTGCCTTGACTTGACTCAAGAACCTACCTCTCCCCCTTGCCTCTTTCCCATACCCTGCCATCACAGGCAAGGCCCCACGGCACATGTTTCAGTACCCCTGCGACCTGGACGCGTCCAGAGGTGCTTTGTAAACGGCACATTATGCACCCACTCACCCACCCACACCCCTTCACCCCCTTCCCTCACAGGCAAGGCCCCACGGCACATGTTCCAGTACCCCTGTGACCTGGACGCGTCCAGAGCTCGCCTGAGCAAGATTTTCGAGGATGCTGCAAAGCAGGTCACAGAACAGACGGCCAAGGCCGGCCTTGCTGTCCCACGCATGTACCAGCACTGCCACAACAACGCGGGCTCCGGCTCGGGCGGCGGCAACGCGGGCGGCAACAACAACAACAACAATAACAACCAGGGCGGAAACCCTCGGAAGATAGCACTGAGCAAGCTCGAGTCGATTCTCCACGCAGGGGAGAAGGCTCGGAATTTCCTAGCCAGGGAGTTGGAGCAAGCAGGAATGATATCGGCCCAAGCGCTGCAGCAGGCAATGAATCTCTGCCCGGAAAAGCAACTCCATCAGCTGAACGTAATCGGGGGTACACTGCGGGTATACCTCTCCCCGTACGTGCACGGGCAGCGGTACACTTCGTTCGGGCGGCATTTCACGATGCCTGAGAAGCTTAACGAGGTGGTGGAGCGGCTGGTGCCTTATATGGAGGATGGGGACGTGCTGGTGGATTTCTGCTGCGGGGCGAACCACTTCTCGCTGATTGCGAGGCATCGGTTAGAAGAGGCGGGGAAGCGGTCTGCGTTTGCCAACTTTGACATCATGCGGCCTCCCAATGAGTTCTGCTTCGTCAAGAGAGACTGGTTCTCTGTCAAGGTGGGTGCTGATGGGTGAAGCTGGGTGCTGGTTGGTGCTGGTGAACGAGCCTGCTTGCTGATCGCGAGGCGTTGGTTGGAGGAGGCTAGTTTTGAGGCGCCTCAAAACTGGAAGCGGTGTGGGTTTGCCAACTTTGACATCATGCGGCCGCCCAATGAGTTCTGCTTTGTGAAGCGCGACTGGTGTTAAGGTGGGTGCTGCTGGGTGGGCGGTGGTGGGTGTTGGTGGGTGCTGCTGGGTGGGCGATGGTGGGTGTTGGTGGGTGCTGCTGGGTGGGCGGTGGTGGGTGTTGGTGGGTGCTGGTGGGTGGGCGGTGGTGAGTGTTGGTGGGTGCTGGTGGGTGGGCGGTGGTGGGTGCTGGTGGGTGCTGCTGGGTGGGCGGTGGTGGGTGTTGGTGGGTGCTGGTGGGTGGGCGGTGGTGAGTGTTGGTGGGTGTTGGTGAGCGTTGGCTGGAGAAGGCGGGAAAGCGGTGTGGGTTTGCCAACTTTGACTTCATGCGGCTGCCGAATGAGTTCTGATCTGTCAAACGCGACTGGTTCTCCATCAAGGTTGGTGCTGATGGGTTCTCGGGGGTGGTGATAGGTGCTGGTGGGTGATGGTGAGTGTTGGCTGGAGGAGGCGGGGAAACAGTGTGGGTTTGCGAATTTCGACATCGTGTGTCCTCCCGATGAGTTCTGCTTCGTCAAAAGAGACTGGTTCTCTGTCAAGGTGGTTGCTGATGGGTGGTGTGGGGTGCTGCTGGGTGCTGCTGGGTGCTGCCGGGTGCAAATGATCAGTGGATGATTGGGTACTTCTTTGGCAATCTCGACTGGTTAGACCAAGGTGGGTGGTGCTGGTGGGGATTGGGAGGCATGGTGCGGGCGCGAGGCATGGCGTGTGGGGAAAGGCATGGCATGGTGGGAAGTTGGAAACATCTGGCACGGCACACTTGTTTGTTGGGATGAATGGATTTACTGGACGAGTGGAAGTAGGGGATGGATCGATTATGCTTGATTTAGTGCTTGCATGTTATTGGTAGGTCCAAACAGCAGTGCTGATAGGTACTACTGGTAGGTGCTGCTGATAGGTGCTGCTGATAAGTGATGTGGGTAATTTACCTTTGGTGGCACATGTCTCCAATGGTGGCACATGTCTCCAATGGTGGCTGCTCCCTCCAGCTGATAGCTTCTGTGCTGGTGGGGAATGTTCTTGTGGGGTATGTGCCGGTGGGATGCGTTTCGGTAGGTTGTAGCTCCGATAGGGTATGTGTGAGTGCTAGTGCAGGGAAAATGCCCGTTGCTGGTCACTGCTCTGCACTATTCAGCTTGCCACTTCATACAGTTGCAACTTTAGCCTTGTACAGTTGCTAGTTGTAATGCAGCGGAGCTAGTTGTGATGGAACGGAGCTAGTTGTAATGGAGCGGAGCTAGTTGTAATGGAGCGGAGCTAGTTGTAATGCAGCAGAGCTGGTTGTGACGCAGCAGTGCTACTGGTAACACAGCGGAACCAATGGTAGTGTAGGAGAGGTAGTTGTAACCCAGTAGAGGTAGTTGTAACTCAGAAGAGGTAGTAGCAGGGCTCGTAGTTGTAACGGTGCAGTGCTAGTTGTAGCCCGGCCCGACAGAGGAAGATATAACGCAGTAGAGCCTTTTTTGGTTCAACTGGGCTAGTTCTAGCACTGGAGAGCTAGCTGTATTGCAACATAACGTGGTAAAGCAGTGACTTTTGAGTCGACTCAAAAGTCACCTATTTCTAGGACAGGGCAACATGACGTGGTAAAGCTAGCCGTGTTGCTGCAACCTTGTTCCTCTTTCCATACCCTGTCATCCTCCTAGTCGCCTCTCTTGCCTCCTCCATCCCATGCCTTTATGGTCGAGGGAACGTCATCTTGTCAGCAACAATCGATCGTCGTCGTCTTCTTGTCTTCTTGCTTAACTCTTCCAACTCATACCACCCCAACAAAGAAACGAGCTCCTTCCTTCTTCACAAACGCATGATCATTGGTCTCAACCCGGCTTTTCCCTTTTATCCTTTGCACATCCTCAACTTCTTCCCTTCTCCTCCCTTGCCTCCCACGCCAACAGAGGAACCAGCTCCCTCACAGCAATCGCCTTATCATGGGCCTCAACCCGCCCTTCGGCGTGCGAGGGCAACTCGCTTCGAATTTTTCGAGCCGTGCCGCCTCCGTCTTCCGACCCAAGCTCATCATTCTCATTGTCCCTCCAGAGACGCGACAGCTGGGCCCACTTGGGTATACGCTACTGTGGAGGGACGAGAAGATTTTTGAGAATCGCGCGTTCTACTTGCCAGGGTCGCATGATAAGGACAACAAGACGATGAACCAATGGAATAACATCCCCCCGCCTTTATACCTCTGGTGCCGCAATGACCTCGTCCACCAGTAAGTGAAGGAAAGTTTACGTTCTAGGGTTTAGGGTACATAACGAGTGCTGTGAAAGGTTGACTAGCATTAGGGGCACCAAGAAGTCTTCTCTTCCGTGTCTGCCATGTTTGCCGATGTTTGCCCATGTCTGCTTGCCCATGCCTGTTTATGCATGTCCATGTTTGCCCATGTATGCCTGTTTGCCAGAATCACCATTTTTTTGTCTCCTTACTTGCTGTGCACTCCTCCTTATCCCATGTCTCTCCATTCCAATCTTCCTCTGATGTTCATTTGTTAGGTATTCTGATGTTCTCCTGATGTTCTCCCTTTCTTCCCCCACTCTTTTTAGGCATTGCCGTTCGGGCACACAAAGGACCCCTTTTCTTAGTCGACTAAATATTATATCCTATCTGAGTTGCCTTGATAACCATCTTGCCCTCTCTACCCCATTCTTTTCCCACCCTCTTAGCTACGGTCCTTTGGCTGACCGCCTCGGGCACACAAGGGGCCTCTTCTCTTCTCCACGGCCCATGCCTCCCTCGCTGCTCGAAGAGCTAAAAGTTGCAACCTCCATCTCCACCACAGGTGCGTTGATTATACCCTTCACATCAGTCCAAATGTCATAGTGGAAATAGAAGCTCGAAGTGGTTCGATGTTGTGCTCAAGCTAAGCTGTCAATTTGCAAGAATATTGCACAAGGAGTGCGAGCGCCAAGAATGATGATGCGAGCAAGTGATGGTGGGGAGAGTCACTCTACAACGGTAGTAGACTACAGAGGAGGACTCGGGTTGTACGGGTGATCGTAGCGTTCTCTAAAACTTGTTTTAATTTTTTTGCTCATAGGTGAAATTGGCAAGAGTTTCACTGACAAAAGTTGGAAGGTCATTGAACACAACGACATGACATAGTCGATATAACAGAACACAATGCAACCTAGCAACCTAGCAAGTCGGCCTCCAGTGCAACACAAAGGCTGCTTGCCAATGCCGCAAGATGGCGCCATGTGCTAACGGAGCTGGAAGACGGCTTGCCAACACTGCAACATGGTGCCCTGCCAGCATCGCACTTGGGTGGCTCGCCAACGTTGCAGCAAAGTGGCTTGCGAGCGTTGCAATAGAAGGTGACCATGTGCGCACATGTGCGCACCTACTAGGTAGGTGCAAGTAGACGGTTGCGCGTGCATCGTCACGCACAATGCGCAGATGTTAGGTTATCGAGCACGTGATGCTCGACTCGCAGGTCGACTTCGTCAAATCTACTTTGGGCGAAATCCGCGCACCCTAGTAGAACTTCGCTGACCAGTTACCAGGTCGACCAAAAGTGGCCATTAAGTCGGCGCCGACTTTGACGGTCGATCGACGCCTGTAGGTCGGCGCCATGTCGACGATCGCCTTCGTCGACCGCTGCGGCCCTACGCTGTTTGCCGACTACGTCGGCGTGACCGTGATCGGCGTCGTCGAGGCCGGCTTTGCCGTGGTTGGGTTCGTTGTCGCCAGCTTCGCTGTGGTCGATTATCCAAGCGCGCCTACTTGCTCCTCCAAGTCGGTGTCGACCACGAAGCTTAGCCAACAACGAAGTTGGCTTCGCTCAAGCGAGGGCGGGGCCTCTGCTCGTCAACAGATGGTTGGGAGCAAATGATGGTCGAGACCTCATCCACCATTGGTCCTCAAATGGTTTATACAACCCGCTTTTATGTCTCGACCATCATTTGCTCCTCAATCACGTCAATACAACCCGCTTTTACTCCTGCAAAAGTTCCCATAGAGTCCGCTGCCCTTGTTTATTCATACTGCCTCGATCCCTTGCAAACGTCCAATTCCGCTTCTCAGGCCTTTGTTGCTAGGGTGTCCTTCCCCCTTTCTTCTACTGTTCATCCAAGCAAAAAGGCTTGACTTGGAATGCTCCACCCATATCAGATGGAGTTTGTTGTAATTTCATATTTCATACAACATACATAGGCTAGAAGTGTAGCACATTTATAAATTGGGGGGTTGCTTAGTGTACCCTCCAACCACATTTTGTGGTTGGTTGGGATTGGTCCTTAGCTCAACCAATCCCAACCAACACACATTTGTGGTTGCTTGGGTCACAAGCAAGCTCACCCATTGGCCAACTTATTGGCCAATAGGGTAAGCTTCCCTCTCATCTCTCTCTTGCTCATTGTTTGTACTAAAGAGCCTCTTGGCTCATTATTCAATGTATCAATTCTAGCTTTCCAACGTGGTATCAGAGCTATTGGCTCACGCCTTGATCCCTCGGTCCTTAGGCCACCCTCTCCTCCCCGTCCCTCAGACGTAGTCCTACTACGGTGCTCCCAAGCTCAGATTCACTCCTCCCGAGCTCACATCTCCTCCTCCCGAGCTCCGATCTACTCCTCCCCAGCTCAGATCTACTCCTCCCGAGCTCAGATCTACTCCTCCCGAGCTCAGATCTACTCCTCAACAGCTCAGATCTACTCCTCCCGAGCTCAGATCTACTCCTCCCGAGCTCACATCTCCTCCTCCCGAGCTCAGATCTACTCCTCCCCAGCTCAGATCTACTCCTCCCGAGCTCAGATCTACTCCTCCCCAGCTCAGATCTACTCCTCCCGAGCTCAGATCTACTCCTCCCCAGCTCAGATCTACTCCTCCCGAGCTCAGATCTACTCCTCAACAGCTCAGATCTACTCCTCCCGAGCTCAGATCTTCTCCTCCCGAGCTCAGATCTACTCCTCCCGAGCTCCCATCTCCTCCTCCCGAGCTCAGAATTACTCCTCCCGAGCTCAGATCTACTCCTCCCCAGCCCAGAGCTACTCCTCCCGAGCTCAGATCTACTCCTCCCGAGCTCAGATCTACTCCTCCCGAGCTCCCATCTCCTCCTCCCGAGCTCAGAATTACTCCTCCCGAGCTCAGATCTACTCCTCCCGAGCTCAGATCTACTCCTCCCGAGCTCAGATCTACTCCTCCCGAGCTCAGATCTACTCCTCCCGAGCTCACACCTCCTCCTCCCGAGCTCAGATCTACTCCTCCCGCGCCCTGCTCTACTCCTCCTGCCCTCAGATCTGCGCATTTCGCGCTCAGATCTGCACATTCCGCACTCAGATCTACTCTCCCGCGCCCAAATCTGCATTCCGCGTGCTCAGATCTGCAACTCGCACGCCCTTGCTAGTCCGACCGCGCGCCCTGGTCGTCCGCGCTCTGCTCGTCCGCCCTTCGCGTCCTCGCCCTGCCCGTCCGCACGCCCTGCTCGTCCGCGCCCTGCCCGTCCGCACGCCCTGCTCATCCGCCCTTCGCGTCCGCGCCCTGCCCGTCCGCGCGCCCCAGTCATCCGCACCCTGGCCGTCCGCGCGCCCTGTTCGTCTGCACGCCCTACTCGTCCGCGCTCCGATCGTCCACACTCTCCCCGTCCGCGCACTCGTTGCACGCCCTCCTTCCCCGCTCGCTGTCCCCCTCCCCTCGTCCGCCCCCTGCCCACCTCCCTAGCATACAACACATCTGCACGCGCATACAGCACATCTGACAGCACATACCGCACACCTGACAGCACATACCGCACACCTGACAGCACATACCGCACACCTGACAGCACATACCGCACACCTGACAGCACATACCGCACACCTGGGAGCACATACAGCACACCCGCCTACGCATACCGTCAGCTGCCTGCGCACACCTTCATGCCCTGCTCGCCTGCGCCATGCCGTGACCGCCCACACCCCACATTGCTTCCCCCATGGCAACAGTCGCGCTGGCATGCATTAGCAGTGGTGCCGGTGGGCATGGAGGAGGGCATAGTGGCAGCTGTGGTGGTGGTCAAGGGAGACTCGCATGATATTGTGGTGTCAGGGGTTTGAGCGCAGGCTGCGGCGCAGCAGCAGCCTTCTCTCCTCGTGAATATGTGCCTTGCTATGGCCCGACTCGAGGACTTCAGTGTAAACTCTCCACCCAAGCCCACCATGCCCCGAGTCAACCCTTCTCTCTACCTCAGCCTCCTCCTCCTCCTCCTCCTCCTCCTCCTCCTCCTCCTCCTCCTCCTCCTCCTCCTCCTCCTCCTCCTCCTCCTCCTCCTCCGCAGCAACAGCAGCAGCAGCAGCAGCAGCAACCGCAGCAACAGCAGCACCTGCAGCAGCTCTGGCACCTCCTCCTCCAGCTCCAGCAGTTGCTCCACCGCCTGCAGCAGCACCTTGACCTACAACCGCAGCTGCCTCTTCCTCCTCCTCCCCCAACTTCCCAGCAGAACTCAGTTCCGCATTGTTCCACAAGCTCCGCCACTTCAAGCATCGTCCCACCTTTCTCATCCGTTGGTATCGCTGGTATGGTCAATCAAGCCACATCAACTGCACCTGCCACATACTCCTCTAGCACTAACGAAACTGCGTTCCAGTCCTCTGTCCCTTCCTCCTCCCTCTCCTCCACTGTCGATTTTGTCCTCGACAGCGGCGCCACTGACACAGTTCTTCGCGATGCTGGCACCTTGCGCCCCCTCCCAACGCCTACCTCCCTCCTTGGTGCCGACAGCAGCTTCTCTATCCCCTGCCATAACACCTCGACTCTCCCCTGCCCACTCCTCCCCTTAGGCACTGTCACCGGTCTCCACATACCCTCTCTTCGCGCTAATCTCCTTTCGCAAAGGTCCCTTCAGCAAGCCGGTATCACCACAGTATTCCCAGCTCATGCTAACTATTGCGCTCTCTACCATTCCGCCACCGGTCAGTTCCTTTCTCGCATTCCCTTTTGCCCTCGCTCCCGTCTGTACACCCTTCGGGTTCCTCGCCTCCCCTCCTGTCAGGTCATCTCTCGTCCCCCCCTCCACCCTCTCATCCCACCTCCTCCTCTCCCTCCCACTAACGCGGACCTCCCTTCCCGCCCCCCCCTTGACTCCTCTTGCTCCTGTCGCTCCCTCTCCCACCCTGCCGTCCTCCTCCATCACAGGCTAGGTCACCCTAACTTCGCTACTCTACGCTCCTCTGTTTCCACCGGTCTCCTCCACGGTCTCCCCTCCTCCCTCCCTCCCCTCCCCAAATCCCCTACCCCCCCTGCACCGTCTGCGTTCAGAGCAAGCTCAAGCAGCAGCCGCACCGGAGCTCCCCCTCCGCTGCTGCGCAGCCACTTGATCTTGTTCACATGGACCTCTGGGGCCCCAATCCCTCTCCCACTCGCCAGGGCCATCGATACCTTCTCGTGCTTGTTGATGATCACAGTCGGTACTCGTCTGTCTTTCTCCTTCGGACGAAGGCAGATGCCCCGGCTGCGATCATCGCCTGGCTCGAGCGGGCAAATACCCATTTTGGGCGCCATGTTCGCCGCCTTCACTCTGATGGTGGTGGTGAGTTCCTTAACAACCAAATATCCTCCTACTGTCAGTCTCATGGCATTCTTCAGACTTACACCCTCCCTCACTCCCCACAGCAGAACGGTGTGGCTGAAAGTCGTGTTCGAGAGATCACCAAAACTGCCCGGTGTCTTCTTGTCCACGCCTCCTGCCCTCCTTCTCTGTGGGGCTACGCCCTCCTTCATGCCGCCCTCCTTACTAACCTTTACCCTCACCCTCTTCTCCCATCCACCACCCCCACTGAGCTGTGGACGAACAACAAACCTGATGTCTCGTCTCTTCGTGTCTGGGGCTCAAAGGCTTATGTTCTCCTTCACCCCACTGACCGCTCCCGCTCTATGGGAAAGCTTGCCCCTCGTACCCTTCCCTGCATCTCGGTCATAACTCCTCCTCACCTGACTACCTTTTCCTCCATCCCCCCTTAGGTCGTCTATTCCGCAGTAGGGATGTGGTCTTTGATGAGTCCACTCCCTACTACTCCTCTCCCCCATCCACTGACCCACTCCCCCGTCTTCCCCGTCCCCTTGTCTGGTCTGACACCACCCCTCCCCCACTACTTCCTCCTCCCCCCATCCTCCCTCCCCCCCCCCCCACCGTCGTCCCCATCCCACGGTGCCCCTCCCTCGTCTGGTGATATATTTGACCCGGAACCTCTGTCCTCTTCTGTCTCCCCCACACATTCCTCTCCTAGTGCCCCTCCCGCCCCTCCTTCACCTCCCTCGCCGCCGACTCGTCCTTCCCCCCCTCCCCGCTCCGTACTTACCCGGTACCCCCATACCAGGTCACGTGACAGTATCCTTGGTGCACCGCCCCCTGTTACCCTCTCTACCTCTACCCTCCCCCCACTCTCCCCTCTCCTTCACCACTTCTTCCAGGCTGTTCTGCATCAACCTCCTCCTGCAGCAGCCCCCTCTGCCACCTCTCCAGCAGCGGCGCCAGCAGCAGCGTCCGCAACGGCACCCGCAGCGGCACCAGCAGCAGGACCAGCAGCGGCACTAGTCGCGGGACCAGCAGCGGCACTAGCAGCGGCACCAGCAGCGGCACCAGCAGCGGCACTAGCAGCGGCACCAGCAGCGGCACCAGCAGCGGCACCAGCAGCGACACCAGCAGCGGCACCAGCAGCGGCACCAGCAGCGGCACCAGCAGCGGCACCAGCAGCGGCACCAGCAGCGGCACGTGCAGCGGCACCAGCGGCACCAACGGTCATCCGCTCCTTCCACACCTCCCTCTCCGAGGACTCGCATGAGGAGTTCCTTGACCTCCACCTCTGTGACCCTTCCCTTCTACCCATCACCTTCGACCTTTCTGGGACACCAGTATTCGCATTCTCCTCTGCTCCCTCCGTTTTCATCCCTACCACGTATGAGGAGGCCATGGCTTGCCCCGACGCCCCACTCTGGCTCGCCGCCATTATCAAGGAGCTGGAGGCCTTTGTCGCCAACTCCTCCTTCGTTGATGTGCCTCGCCCTCCCTCCTCTACGAACGTGGTGAAAGGGAAGTGGGTGTTTCGCGTCAAACAGCTGCAAGGGGAGCCGCCCGTCTATAAGGCTCGTTACTGTGCCAAGGGGTTCACGCATCGGTATGGTTTTGACTTCTTCGATATCTTCTCTCCCACTGCCAAGCCTGCTACTGTTCGCGCAGTGCTCGACCTCGCCGCTCGCCTCAATATGGAGATCCACTCAATGGACGTCTCTAACGCTTTCCTCCAAGGCGTCTTCCGCGAGCTTATCTACATGGAGCGTCCAGCCGGTTTTCACCTTCCCTTCCCTGCAGACTCTGTCTGGCAGCTGCGTCGCCCTGTGTATGGGCTTCGACAGGCCCCGAGGGAGTGGCATGCTAAGCTTGCCGCCACCCTTGCTGAACTTGGGTTCCGCACCTCCCGCTCTGACGCCAGCCTCTTCCTCCGCACCTGCCCCTCCCCGTTCTACATCCTTGTGTATGTCGATGACATGATTCTGCTCACTGCCGACCTTGGCGAATTGGAGCGTGTTAAGGCTGAGTTGGGCAGCCGTCTGAAATGCAAGGACTTGGGCGAGCTGCAGCATTACCTGGGCATGACCATCACCCGTGACCGCTCCGCCCGCACCATCTCTCTCTCCCAGGGTCATTACTTGCAGCAGGTCTTGGAGCGGTTTGACATGGTCCGCGGTGGCGCCCAACCTACTCCTCTTTCTGTCGGGCACCACCTCTCTCCACCCACCTCCCCCTCAGCCTCCTCCCATCCTTATCCCGAGCTCATCGGCTCCCTCATGTATGCCATGGTCTCCACTCGCCCTGACCTTGCCTACCCCATCAGCGTCCTCGCTCGTTTTGTTGGCGCAGGCAAGCATACGGAAGAGCACTGGCAGGCCGCCAAGCGCGTCCTCCGGTACCTTCGTGGCACCAAGGACTATGTCCTTACCCTTGGCGGTCCCTCCCTACCTCTTCTCAGCGGCTACAGTGACTCCTCCTGGACTGATTCCCGGCCAGATCGTCGCTCCTCCCAGGGCTATGGCTTCTCTCTTGGCAGCGGCCTTATCAGCTGGCGCTCCACCCGCTCCTCGGCTGCAGCCCTCTCCTCCTGCGAGGCGGAATTGTATGCCGCCACCATGGCTGCGCAAGAGGCGCGCTGGCTCACCTTCCTTCTTGAGGAACTTGGTGCCCCCCAGCGCTGTCCCACAATTTGGTGTGACAATGCTAGTACCATTCACCTCACCAAAGATGTTGTGTTTCACGGGCGCTCCAAGCACATTGAGCTCCGTCATTTCTTCATTCGCGATCTTGTTCAGGCGGGGCACCTTCGCCTCGACAAGGTTGACTCGGCGGCCAACCTTGCCGACATCTTCACAAAAGCTCTTCCTCATGCCGCTCACTCTTTCCTACTTCGTCTTCTTGGCCTCACTCCTAAGTCGCCTCCCGCCTCTTGATTCTAGCCTTCTAGCCTTATGCATGTTGGGGGGTTGTGTTGTAATTTCATATTTCATACAACATACATAGGCTAAAAGTGTAGCACATTTATAAATTGGGGGGTTGCTTAGTGTACCCTCCAACCGCATTTTGTGGTTGGTTGGGATTGGTCCTTAGCTCAACCAATCCCAACCAACACACATTTGTGGTTGCTTGGGTCACAAGCAAGCTCACCCATTGGCCAACTTATTGGCCAATAGGGTAAGCTTCCCTCTCATCTCTCTCTTGCTCATTGTTTGTACTAAAGAGCCTCTTGGCTCATTATTCAATGTATCAATTCTAGCTTTCCAACAGAGTTTAATTCCTCTTTTTCTCCAATCTGTAATTCCTCTCATTTTCTCAGGTCTCGACCCTGGTTCCATCGCTGCTGCTGAAGCGCAATCTCTTATACTTGTCGGACCTTACATCTGGGCTCGGGCTGGCTGTGGCTTGGCTGAGGGAAGAGCTTCGGGAGATGAAATTGGGGGTGCTGATGAAGGTGGTGGTGTTGCTGGTGGTGGTGATGTTGGTGGTGGTGGTGATGCTGCTGCTGCTGGTGCTGCTGTTGGTAATGGGGATGGAGGGCAGCAGCTATATTTGGAAGAGAGGGAGAATGAAGGAGAGGAGATGGTTGGGCTGGATGTCCTGGGCATTGATAAGGGCGGAGGAGGAGGAGAAGGAGAGCTGGAGGGTAGAAAGATGGTGGGGATGAAACAGCTTCGGAGGGAGGAGGAGGATATGAATGCGAAACGGATTGTGAAGGTTAAGCGGGAGTATGATTATATGGGGGATAAAGGAGTGGGTGATAATGGCAGCGGTGGGATTGATGGGGCCGGGTTGGGAGGTGAGATGTTGGGAGGAGAGAAGAGGTTGGCGGTTGGTGGGCTGAGTCCGAGAGTGAAGGTTGAGATAGGGAGTGAGAAGAGAGATGAGGAGGGAAGGAAGGAGAGCGAGAAAGAGAAGAAGGAGAGGGAGAGGAGGGAGAGGAAGGAGAAGGAAAAGGAGAGGGACAGGGAGAGGGAGGAGAGATTGAGGAGGAAGGAGAGGGAGAGGAAGAAGGAAAAGGAGAAGGAGAAAGAGAAGGAGAGGGAGAAGGAGAAGGAGAGGGGGAGGGAGAGGGAGAGTGGAGAGGAGAGGGAGAAGGAGAGTGAGATGCAGAAGGATAAAAAGGAAGTTAGTGGTAGGGAGGAAGGAGAGAAGGAAACTTTGAGTGGTAAGGGGGAGGAGAGAGCTTCCAGGGATACTAGGGATAAGGACGAGGCGAGGGTTGAGAGAGGAGGGGGGGGAGGGGAGAGAGGGGAAAGAGGGGAAGGAGAGGGAGAGGGAGAGAGAGAGGGGGAAGGAGAGGGAGAAGGAGAAGGAGAGGGAGAGGGAGAGGGAGAGGGAGAGGGGGAGGGAGAGGGAGAAGGGGAGGGAGAAGGAGAGGGAGCGGGATAGGGAGAGGGAGAAGGAAAAGGCGAGACAGGTCGAATCTGCAGAGGTGGAGCGCAGGAGAGAGGTGAGGCGAGAGGAGGAGTGGAGGAGGGAGGAGGAGCAGAGGAGAAGGGAGGAGTGGAGGAGGGAGGAGGAGCAGTGGGCAGGGGGTGTGGGGAGGGCAGGTTGGGCCCGGAGGGGTGAGTTTGATGCAACGCAGAGCTGGGCAGAGCAGCAGGACCACAGGCGTGGGCGAGAAAGGGGTGGGCATGGAGGAGAGGGGGCACGGTACGAGAGAGAGAGGGGCCGGCACGAGCAAGGAGGGCATCTACGGCAGGGTTATGGTGAGGGGCGTGATAGGGGCGGCCATTACAGTAGAGACCGCGGGCGAAGCGCAGAGAGAGGGGCTGGTGGCTGGCTGGAGCGTGGGGGTGATAGAGTTGTTGAGAGGGGTGGTGATGGGAGTCAGTATGGTGTGAGGGAGCGCGAGCATCGGTACATGCGTGGGAGGGATGTGGATGGGGAAGAGAGAAGGGAGGGGGGGTATGAGGAGCGGGGGGGGTGGGAGGAGAGGAGAGGAGGCGTGGAACGAGCGGCGCGAGAGAAAGTATCGAGAGGCAGAGGAGAGGGGGCAGAGGGAGCGGGAAGCGGCAGAAGGAAGAGAAGCAGAAGCAGGAGGGTTTTCCAGTCCACAAATGCCCTCCCTCCCTCCTGCCCCTGCCCTCCCTTCACCCACCCCGTTCCCTCTCGTTCTCGACCTCACCCAAGGCCCACACCCCCCCATGTTCGTCAGCCCTCAAAACTCCCTCTCAGGCGCCATTGGGGTCCCCATTTCATTCGGCCAACAACTGGGCGGTGCGCTCTCTGCTGCCAACAGTGTTCCCTTGGGCGGTCAGGGCATGCAAGGAGGAGTGGTGTCTGCTGTTCCTCCTGGGTTCGGCCCGGACGAAGGGCAGCAAGGTGGCTTTCTTTTTCCTGGAGAAGGAGAGGGCGGCTTGAGGCAGCACGAGGTGAGTGCGATGCAGAGGGATTAGGGCAGCCTTTTGTGCAGTGTGTTTTGAGTCGACTCAAAACACACCCGGTGTGAGTGCGATGCAGAGGGATTAGGGCAGCCTTTTGTGCAGTGTCTCTTCGCCAACAGTGTTCCCTTGGGCGGACTTTTGAGAGCTCTCAAAAGTCACTCCAATATAGCTGTCTCTTCGCCAACAGTGTTCCCTTGGGCGGTCCCGGCATGCAGGGGAAGGGGCTGGAGGCAGCACGAGGTGAGTGTGAGGCAGAGGGATTAGGCCAGCCCCTGGGAGGTGCGCTCTCTGCTGCCAACAGTGTTCCCTTGGGAGGTGCGCTCTCTGCTGCCAACAGTGTTCCCTTGGGAGGTGCGCTCTCTGCTGCCAACAGTGTTCCCTTGGGAGGTGCGCTCTCTGCTGCCAACAGTGCTCCCTTGGGAGGTGCGCTCTCTGCTGTCAACAGTGTTCCCTTGGGAGGTGCGCTCTCTGCTGCCAACAGTGTTCCCTTGGGAGGTGCGCTCTCTGCTGCCAACAGTGTTCCCTTGGGAGGTGCACTCTCTGCTGCCAACAGTGTTCCCTTGGGAGGTGCGCTCTCTGCTGCCAACAGCGTTCCCTTGGGAGGTGCGCTCTCTGCTGCCAACAGCGTTCCCTTGGGAGGTGCGCTCTCTGCTGCCAACAGCGTTCCCTTGGGAGGTGCGCTCTCTGCTGCCAACAGCGTTCCCTTGGGAGGTGCGCTCTCTGCTGCCAACAGCGTTCCCTTGGGAGGTGCGCTCTCTGCTGCCAACAGCGTTCCCTTGGGAGGTGCGCTCTCTGCTGCCAACAGCGTTCCCTTGGGAGGTGCGCTCTCTGCTGCCAACAGCGTTCCCTTGGGTGGTCCCGGCAGGCAGGGGAGGGTGGTGGCTGGCTGCTGTGCCTCCTGGGTTTGGTTCGGACGAAGGCCTGAATGCAGGCTTTTTGCTTCCAGGATCTCATTCTGGGGAGGGAGACGGCGACCTGAGGCAGCAAGTTGACTTTTGAGTCGACTCAAAAGTCATTCTGGGGAGGGAGACGGCGACCTGAGGCAGCACGAGGTGAGTAAAAGGCAGAAAGGAATGCAGTTGCTGCCTACAGTGTTCGCTTGGGCGGCCAGGGCATGCAGGGGAGAGTGGTCTTAGCCGTGCCTCCTGGGTTTGGGCCAGACGAAGGAAAGCCCAGGTGCGGCTTTTGATTCGTCTCGAATTCGGGTTTGGGCCAGGCAAAGGCCCAAGTGCTGCTGCTGCCATGCTTACCCCTCTGGCGTTTGCTGCTGCCACTGCTGCTGAACCACATTCTCATTCTGCTTGGAAGGAGAATGTGCTGCAGGGCACCAGGAGGTGAGTGCATGGCTCCTCTGAAAATTGGCGCTAGATAAGCAGCCTTTATCTCGCTCCTCTTTTGAGACGTCTTGAAACACACTGAGACGCCTTGGAACAAAATGAGAGGGCTTGGAACAGAATGAGACGCCTTGGAACAAAATGAGACTCCATGCTCTTGCTCACTTTGTTCCAAAACCAAATGAACAAAATGAGACGCCATTTTCTTGCTCTTGGCCAAACCACAATGGGACCACAAATGAGACGCCTCGATAGCTAGCTAGCTGTCTCCGCAATCTCGCTACGGCGCAGTGAGATGGTTGACCGGAGTTAAGAACCAGCAGCTTTAGGCGACAACTGAGTCGACTCAAAAAGTCACACTTGAGTCGACTCAAAATTCATCCGGCACTCGGCCATTTTGCAGTGGAGAGTTTGACCGGAGTTGTAGCCCTCAGCAAGGTCCCAGTTTTAGCTCCGTGACCCTTGGCAAGTGACCTTGCTTGCAGTGACCTGGCTTGTCTGGCTTGGCTCGCGCACATGGTCATTTTTTGAGACGTCTCAAAAGACCTGGCTTGTCTGGCTTGGCTCGCGCACATGGTCATTTTTTGAGACATCTCAAAAGACCTGGCTTGTCTGGCTTGGCTCGCGCACATGGTCATTTTTTGAGACGTCTCAAAAGACCTGGCTTGTCTGGCTTGGCTCGCGCACATGGTCATTTTTTGAGACGTCTCAAAAGACCTGGCTTGTCTGGCTTGGCTCGCGCACATGGTCATTTTTTGAGACGTCTCAAAAGACCTGGCTTGTCTGGCTTGGCTCGCGCACATGGTCATTTTTTGAGACGTCTCAAAAGACCTGGCTTGTCTGGCTTGGCTCGCGCACATGGTCATTTTTTGAGACGTCTCAAAAGACCTGGCTTGTGTGGCTTGGCTCGCGCACATGGTCATTTTTTGAGACGTCTCAAAAGACCTGGCTTGTCTGGCTTGGCTCGCGCACATGGTCATTTTTTGAGACGTCTCAAAAGACCTGGCTTGTCTGGCTTGGCTCGCGCACATGGTCATTTTTTGAGACGTCTCAAAAGACCTGGCTTGTCTGGCTTGGCTCGCGCACATGGTCATTTTTTGAGACGTCTCAAAAGACCTGGCTTGTCTGGCTTGGCTCGCGCACATGGTCATTTTTTGAGACGTCTCAAAAGACCTGGCTTGTGTGGCTTGGCTCGCGCACATGGTCATTTTTTGAGACGTCTCAAAAGACCTGGCTTGTCTGGCTTGGCTCGCGCACATGGTCATTTTTTGAGACGTCTCAAAAGACCTGGCTTGTCTGGCTTGGCTCGCGCACATGGTCATTTTTTGAGACATCTCAAAAGACCTGGCTTGTCTGGCTTGGCTCGCGCACATGGTCATTTTTTGAGACGTCTCAAAAGACCTGGCTTGTCTGGCTTGGTTCGCGCACATGGTCATTTTTTGAGACGTCTCAAAAGACCTGGCTTGTCTGGCTTGGCTCGCGCACATGGTCATTTTTTGAGACGTCTCAAAAGACCTGGCTTGTCTGGCTTGGCTCGCGCACATGGTCATTTTTTGAGACGTCTCAAAAGACCTGGCTTGTCTGGCTTGGCTCGCGCACATGGTCATTTTTTGAGACGTCTCAAAAGACCTGGCTTGTCTGGCTTGGCTCGCGCACATGGTCATTTTTTTAGACGTCTCAAAAGACCTGGCTTGTCTGGCTTGGCTCGCGCACATGGTCATTTTTTGAGACGTCTCAAAAGACCTGGCTTGTCTGGCTTGGTTCGCGCACATGGTCATTTTTTGAGACGTCTCAAAAGACCTGGCTTGTCTGGCTTGGCTCGCGCACATGGTCATTTTTTGAGACATCTCAAAAGACCTGGCTTGTCTGGCTTGGCTCGCGCACATGGTCATTTTTTGAGACGTCTCAAAAGACCTGGCTTGTTTGGCTTGGCTCGCGCACATGGTCATTTTTTGAGACGTCTCAAAAGACCTGGCTTGTCTGGCTTGGCTCGCGCACATGGTCATTTTTTGAGACGTCTCAAAAGACCTGGCTTGTCTGGCTTGGCTCGCGCACATGGTCATTTTTTGAGACGTCTCAAAAGACCTGGCTTGTCTGGCTTGACTCGCGCACATGGTCATTTTTTGAGACGTCTCAAAAGACCTGGCTTGTCTGGCTTGGCTCGCGCACATGGTCACACACCCCCTCAGCGGAGCTGTGGCTTGGGGCTATTGGCTCCGGCTTGGTCACGATCCCAAACCCAGTTTCTACCTCTTTTGAGGTGGTTTCTACCTCGACCTTCTCTTCGAATACTGTCTAGGCCTGCAGTGCACTCCCCCTCGTCTCGTAGTCTTCATCGCCTTTCGAGTAAGCTTGCTGCCATGCCATTTACCACAAATACGGGATCAGATGCCAGTCACAGAATCCTTACCTGCATTCATGGCATTGACTGGATGACGAGGCAAGCAAACCCATCCAAGTCCTGTTTTCGCAGGCTACCTCAACGAGCCTGTTTTCGCAGGCTACCTCAACGAGCCTGTTTTCCAGGGCGGCTTGAGCTGAGAAGCTATGGCTGAGCTCTAGCATAGCTCGGCCTGCTGTGTCAACAACAAGGCTCGCGCAAGTGGGCTCAACTGGCGCAAGTGCTCAGCTCAATAGAAGACTGGCTCAAAGTCGAAACAATTTTATACTCAATACGAAGTTGTAGTCAATTTAAGTTTAGGGTCGGTACGAACTTCCGAACGGAACAAGTTTGGAGTTTGTACGAGGCAGAGACGGCTTATGGCAAGCCGAATGGACTCGTGCCCTTGCTGAGGCATAAACACTAGTTTTGATTAGTGTGACGTTCGGGTTGTGAGACGATTGGATAGTGAGAGCCTCAGCCAGCTGTGTGCGAGGGAGAAGCAGCAGACGCTACTTAGTTGATACTCTTAGGAGGCCATCCCTGCTCGGGCCAACTCAAGTGAGCTTACAATCCCGGGTTCCGTTCCACTGCCCCTGTGTGCCTTCTGTGCCTGTTCTTGCTGCCCACACACCGCAGCAGGGTTTGCGTGCTGCTGGCGGCCCGGGGGGGGCTGCTGCTGTACTTGTTAGTAGCTCAGGGCGCATCCTCAGAGGAGCCGATCAGATGGAGAGTTTCCTGCGCAACGCAGAGAGGCTCGAAGCGGGGGGAGCAGCAATGGGGGGAGCCGATCAAATGGAGAGTTTCTTGCGCAATGCGGAGAGGCTGGAGGCAGCAGGAGCAGCGGCAGGAGGAGCAGGAGGGGGACGGGGAGGAGGAGGGGGAGAAGGGGGGTTTGGGATGGCTGGAGGTGGTTTGGGCTCTCCTACCCCACAGCTGCAGTCTGCAGCAGCAGCGGGTGCATTGGGTGCTGGTGATGCAGGGAGGGGGGATTTCGGCAGCTTTCTCCGCAATGCAGAGCGGTTGGAAGCGGTGCATGGGGGGAGATATGGGGAGATGCGCGGTGACATGGGTGGGGGCATGGGAGGGGCCATGGGTGGGCTGCAAGGAGAACTGGCAGGCGGCATGAGAAGCGCATCCATGGGACCCATGGGGCCTGTGATCCGCATGCACGTACCGCCGTTCGACCCGCATGCGCCCCCACCGCCTCACATGTCTCTCCGTGGGCCCATTCCCCCGGGCTTTGAAGATGGACCCGCCTTTCCAGAGCCGCGTTTCGGAGGTGCACCGCCTCACATGCAGCAGCAGCAGCTGGGAGATCCAATGGAGCCTCTTACTGAGGTTGCGCCGGTGACTGTGCGGATGGTCGGCACGCATCGTGTGATGGTTGTTGCAGATTCGCCCGTCCGCCCACCACCGATGGAGCTCCCGAGGTCCATGGATCCCTTTTCCCCCAACATGCCACTCGAAATGCAAGGCGGAAGGCCTCCCTTCTTCTCCCAGCAGCAGCAACAGCAGATGCCGCCACAGCATTTTGGTGAAAGCGTCCAGATTCGTGGAATTCACGAGCGGGGGTTCCCGGGACCGCCTCACCACATGATGCAAGGCCCGCCGGACCTTCTTCCTCCACGTGGTGATTCTTTTCGACCGCAAGGCCCCCGAGGAGAATTCTTCCCTTCTCCTCAAGGGGGACCACATGGGCCTCCCCCATATGGCCCTCCCCTTCGTGGGCCCCCGTTTGGCCCGCCACCATTTCTCAACGATCAAGGACCTAGAGGGCCTTTCCGTGGCTTTCCCCCCATGGACCCCCATGGAGGAGTGGAGGACCATCCGCGTTTTGGTGGTCGAGGCCCGTTCAATGGTGCCGGTGGTCCGAATATTGGGGGTTGGATTGATGAGTAGAGCAGTGCATCGCCACAGCTACGGATTCTGGTGGAATTTATCCTACGATGTTATATTTTTTTTCTCTTTGATTACTTGAGGGCTATGCTTAGATATTTGTAAGCAAGCTGCAGTCCGTACATTGATGAAGGCTGTTGACGACTGCTTGAAACAGTGCGGGTCTTTAACAGGTAAATAAGTGAGATAAAGTCTTACCACGTGTTGTTAATTCTTGAGGTGTTCGTAGTGTACCAGATGTATCCAAGAGTTTTGCGAAGATTCGCGATGTGTGGATGTCGCACACAGGGTGACATTGCAAACCGAACTGGGGAAGCTATCAGCGGACTGTGACTGCCACCGTAGTGCACCTTTTCGTAGAGTGGAGCATTCCCGTCTTCTGCCTGATGTCAATGAGGTCTTGTACCGCTTTGAATTGCATAGAAACGAAATACCGCCTGTATCACCTTTGCGTTGGCATTGCTTTCCTGCTAGCTCTAAGGAGGCGTCACAATTACTGAGGATAGCTGCGCATCAATACCAGCCAAATGCGGCACGTCTCCTCGCCTGTGCAATTCGACGCATGTTTCCAATGGTTGACTGTCGCAATTATTGCTCCTCGCAATCTATGGATGACGATTTCCAATTCGAAGCTATTGCATTTCCGCTTGACCTCTTTTTGGGGTCAACGGCAATTATAGGAGGCGCGTCGGAGCCTCACCCGTCACTCACGCCCAGCCAGCCCTACCTAATGGCGTGTCTCTTCGGCGCAGAGCAATTATTTTGACGTGGCCTATAAATGAGGGGGGTTTCATCCATCCATTACACTAAATCAACGATCCATCTTTCACTAATTCAGCTCCCACACTTCTAGCTACTACAAACCGTTTCCTCCTGCAGACCGTGGTTCTGTGTCTCGTCTTTTGAATCATGGCCTCAACTCCAGCCCGCGTGCTACACGTTGGTATGAAATCAGAGCCGCTTCTCGATCCTCTATGTTCTCAACGTTTCCATTTTTTTCCCCTAATTTCTCAATTCTTTTCGTTTAAATTGGAGAATAATCGGCGCTGCATTATAACCCTGCCTGAGCATCGACATCTATCGCATGTGTTGCGAGCGTGCAGCATTCTTCGCGGCACTGGTGGCCCTTGCCTACTCGGACGACGATAAGGATTATGGTGCGTGTCCCTTCCATCTGCCTTTGCTATCCGTCATTTTCCTTAATTACCATGTCTTTCCGTTTCATACCTTCCCATTCTTGCATCATCTCTCCTTGTCTTCTGTCACTTCATCCTCACTCACCCTCCTCGTTCTCCCTTCAACAGAGCGTTTTAACTCTCTGCTGATTGGAGCCAACGAGGTTCCAAAGAACAACTCCGAAGCTGCCAGGAAAGCTGTCGGGGACAAACGAGGGATGGTTCACATGAAGCTTAAGATCTACAAGTGAGTCTTCCTCCTTCATTTGCTGTGCTACATCTGTGATGCATGAGTAGCCGATGTCCTGCCTACACTTGTTTCAGCTTCGTTTGATACCTCTGGTGACCATCCGTGATCAGGGAGGATGGCAAGCCTACATGGCTGGAGTATTCGGTGAAAGCGTTGAAGCTGGAAGGCGAGATGCCGCCAACCAAGACGCACATACACCCAGGGAACAAGGGGCAGAACAACCCCGTGCTGCTGGACCTGCCGTGCTCGTACGAGAGGAAGAGCCGCACCGACTGGCGCTGCAAGGGCTCCCTCGGGAAGAAGGTGCATGAACGCACCAACGACCTCGTGTCAGCGCTTAAGGATATCTCCAAGAATCCGAAGGGGCACTATGGGAATATTCACACGAAGAAGTATTCTGATGGTGCCGTGCGTGGTCAGCTCTCCAGGGGCTAGATAACCAAACAAGCTGAGGACTTGACAGTCGATGAGCAAGGAATAAAGCATCTGCAAGAGTAGATGCAAAATATTATACAAAAACTATGCTCTGTTGGTGGTGTCTGAGCAGATGGCCGACAGCAGAAACTTGTTATGATTTCATTACTATTGTCAGGGTGCGCTATGGAAGTGGTGAGGCTCCTTATTTTCCTAGGTAAGTGTGTTCCTCACATGTACCGGTAAGTGAACTCCGGTATATGGTTGTTCATATGTAACATTCAGCGTACGCGATAGTGCTGCTGTTGGCTGAATACAGTCCGCAAGTACTTGCCACACTAGTTCCTGCCCGTCGAACCAGTTCGCAAGGGAAGGCTGACCCGCTTGATGCCCTCTGCATTGCACAGCAAACAAATAGAACATTCGGAAACCGAATTGCACCGACTGTGTTGGCCGAAGAAGCTGAGGACCACAATGGCCTGTTCTGGTGCATCACGTTCGAAAGCGGTGAAAGCCGAAACCACGATTCACCGTGTAGAAACTTACTGCACCTCACCAGGTTTAATTTTCCTCATTTACGTCGCTTCCCTTCACGATTTCAACAACGCGTCACACCCGTGGCTCGCCTATTTTCTCGCCTAGAGCTGCTATTATTGAGTTGCGGCCAATAGCATTTCAGAACGAGTTGGCAAGAGTGACGACAATTACTTACTCGACGCCAATGTTATTCCGGCTGATGCGCTCCCCAGTGCTATCAATGTTCCCGATGGCACTCGATGCGCATCGTCTCCTCCTATCGTTGGGCTGAAATACCTTCGCGGAATCAAATGTGACGCCGGGCCTTTCTGACGTTTTTCCATCTCCGAGCCTCAATGTGACGATATATGAGGGTAACTCCAGTCCCTAGAAACCCACGTAGGCGTATTTCTGCATTTCGCTGGACCTATTTAGTAGAAATCAGTAACTAGCTCCCTCTCGCGAACCAATTCTCATTTGACTATTCTTGAACTCATGGCCTTCATTCGTGCTCGTTCGGTCTTACTATTGGGTAAGCGTTACCCCTAGAGAGAATCCGCAACGTCAATGTTAGCTCACTCCATACTCACTGCATGCCAGCTGTCAACCAGGCATGGTAACCCGATTGATGAATTCGCCTCTCGTCGTGTGTGTGTTCGTCGTCCAGCTTTCCTTGCCGCGTCGTTGGTCGCGAATGCTTACGCCGCTGGTTCCAGAAAAGACGCTCCGTTTTCTACCGGTCAGTTCGAAATCTCACGTTTGCATACCCAAAAATATATGTTCCGCGTATGAACACCATATGTCCACCGTGGATTTTAATCTCACTCTGAAATCTCAATGGCGTGTGACTTTCCTTCCAACCCGAACTCACCCTCTCCCTCAATGTCACGATCGTGGTTAACCAATAAGCAATGTCTCAATGTCCGGACCATCATTTTTACTTAACGATACAGTTCGCCCTCCCTGAAGTTGGCCTTTTGTTAGTCACACTGTTGAATCATGTGAACATTTTTGTCTTTGTGCTTTGTTGGGATAGTCAAACGATCAGTGCAGGCCCAATAAGCTTTGGCTTTTAGAGCCATGTTCGTTGTTTGTATGCTGGTCACGACCCTCTCTCTTTCAATGTCTCACTGCCAAGCTGCGACCTCACCTCCACCATCCCCTCCCAACCCCCCAACCCGCCCCTCTTCCCCCCCACACCCCCCCTCCCCCTCCATCCCCTCTCCCCCTCGTTTCTCGTTCAACAGACGCTTTAGGTGCCACCCTGTTGGGCAAGCTCGAGATTTCCAAGAATGGCTCCAAAGCTGCCAGGAACGCCGTGGGCGACCCACGCGGATCGAGTACAGACTGGCAGCTTTTCACATGCAGGGCAAAATGCCGCCGACCGCGACGCATATACACAGCGCAAGAGCGGGATCGAACGGTCCCAAGGTGATGGATCTGCCGTGCGAATATCAATTCGAAAAGGAGAACGGTATATGGCTATGCAGCGGCGTGCTTGGCAAGAATTTGGCGGAACGGACAGCGAAGCTTTTGTCAACTCTCAAGGTTATTCGGAAGAATCCGAGGGGGTTCTATGGGAATATTCACACGGTGAGGTATCTGGACGGCGCAGTGCCGGGGCAGTTAGGCAAAGCTGCTGAAGAGGGGGTACACTTCGATATGTGGTGGGAAACACTAGGATAAGGGTTAACCATGTGTGTTTTGGTTTTGTTGTAATGTAATGAGTGAAGAGAACAGATGCTTTCCATTCCCTTGTACAATAATAGAACAATGCTTACATCATTGTTCCCTCTCACCCACCATCATTGTTCTCCCTGTTGGGAACAATAAGTCTTAAAGCGCCTCTGTCGTGTCGAAACTCAGGACACAAGCGAAGCAGTCCAAATCGAAGCATCGCGAGACAACCCTCGGAGGTTAGGGTAACCGCCTGGAGGTTACGCGAAGGTCAAAAGTCAGCGACCTTTGACTTGACAAATACAGCGCGACAGCAAGGACACATAACTGACTCGACATTGAGCAGTTGCCCGAGTCGCACTGTATCGAATCGCAACAGCAAAACAATTTAATTATATCTATTCGTATTCCTTGTACTCTTATATAAAGCCTTGTATTTGCTTGTTTTAATCAACCCACTTTGCCCTCACATACTAGCGCAAGGTGGTTCAAGGACTTCTTCATTCAAACGCTTCCGCTATTACAATCCTACTCACACTTTAACTCTACAAAGATCCTAGGGCATCTCAGCCCAACATGGTATGAGAGCAGATAGAGTTCAAAGTTACTTTTTCTCTTAATACTTAATACAAGGAAGACATGTCTACTAGGAAGGAAAGGAGCTCCTCCAACGGTTCTCCAAGCACTACCCCTACTCCACCTCCTGTCTCTGGTCTACAGACGGAAGAAGGGACTACCACGAGACCAGCAGCTGGGTCTACGGAAACGCCCGCAGGCTTCGATCCAAGCATGATGGAGAAATTCTTCTCCTTCATGTCCTTCTACGAGCAGCACCAGCAAGGAGTACCTGCGCAGTCAAACAACAGCAACAACAACAACGTAACTCCTATGAGTCTCGACGGCTCATCCTACGCACGCGGAATTAAACAACAACAACAGCAGCCTACCTTTGCGCCGTACGAGCCCCAGCGTGGCTCCGTCAGCTTCATGCCGCAACCGCAATCTGCACCGGGACAAGAAAGGGCATTGGACGCATTACAAGTTCAATCGCAATTCGCGCATGTTCTCAAGCTGCAAACGACAAAGCCTTTCGACGGAAAAGACTTCTTCACCTGGTCGTTCGAGTTCGAACTGATGATGGAAGGAGCACAGATTCTCGGCTTCTTCGACGGGTCCCTGCCATATCCAACAAACGGGACACAATATGAGAAGCAGCAGTACACCTATCAATCAATGATGGCGTACACGATACTGCTAAGAAACATCACCCCGACCCAGCAGCAGAGCATCAGGACTTACCGAGGCTACGGCAACTCCGCGGAGCTCGCGTACAACCACCTGAAGAACCTGTATCAAGCAACAGACAGCGTAAATCAAAGCAGGTTAATGGCGCAGTTGACAACAATTGAAATGAAACCAGGCGAGAAAGGCATGGCTTATATCAGCCGCTGCCGCGAACTGCGCGACAAGCTTCTTCGATGCGGAGGGTCGATTTCAGAAGACGCCTTTGTAACGGTGGTCATCGGCGGTCTCGGCCCCCACTGGCGCTCCACTCGCGCCATATTACGAGCACACGGGAGGATTTCCGAAGCGGCACTCTGCGCTGAAATTCATGCCGAGCAGCAGGACATGGACCTGCAAGAAGAAAGACACAAGAAGAAAACATTAGCACCGGAGTTTGCGTTTCACACTCAGCGACGATACAACAACAACAACAATCGACAACAGCAACAAGTGAAGACGGTACCTCCGTTTTGCCACATCTGCAAGACTTCGGGACACCCTCGCACGCACTGCCCGTCTCGTCACAACACCACAGCGACAACTCCGGCCTTCAAGCTCCCAAGTTGCCTCAACACAAGCAAATCCGACGACCTCAATCCAAGCTTCAACGACTCCAACAGGACAATCTGCACAAGGAGCAAGAAACATTGTCAATTGCATGGTGAAGATAACTGATTCGTGCACAACCGAATCACCACCTCACTACTCACCGGAAGAAGAGCTCGACAACAGGACGCCTCGCCGCGAGTCACTCCAACCGAATCCGACGTACGCCGCCATCGCTCAAAGCGAACCGTCCGGGCAAGACACCTGGTTCCTGGACAGTTGCTGCGGACAACATATGTGCTCCTCGGGACGCTTCGTTCAACGCGAACATCGACTCCAGCGAGAAGTAGTCATCACGGTCGCCAACAACCAGAACCTGCACACACGACGACAAGTAGTAGTTCAGCTTCAATCAAGAGAGACAAACGTCATACTGCACATGTCAAAGGTACTCATCGCAAAAGGACTCGGTTATAACTTACTGAGTGTCAGCCAGCTGATGGCGAAAGTCATCCACTTGGAAGCCGACAGCACCACCCAGGAGTTTAAACTGTACCACGGGAAGGGCGACCTCTACATCGGAAGAGCAGTTTTGAAGAACAACGTCTTCGTTCTCGATTTCGTCCCCGACCTTGGCACTGCAGATAGCGACGCCATCGTCAACTTCGCCGATTGGAGACATCCCCCGGATCTCGATCCCGACTTCAGCCCGGGAGGTTTCTGGTACTCGCACACCATCCCTGAAGCAGAACGAACACGAGCGTTAGCAACAATTCAACAAACGGCAGTAGCAGAGACAACATCGCAGCAGCAGAAACATCATCGGCAGCAGCAGGACCAACGACACCAGTCATCGTCGACAAAGCACCACCAACACCCGCACAGCAACTGAACCCGACTCAACGAGAAGTCCACAGAAGCGCCAATGTCGTCGCCAGCTTGTACTCCAACTCCGACGCGTATCACCGCTCACCCGGACATCGCGCTCCTGAAGACAT